CACTTGCTCTTGTCACTTCTTGCCTCCACTTCCTAGAGCTTCAGCACGTGGGAGAGGTTTGGTTGAGGGGCGGGAGAACCACATAGGGAGAAGCTCTTTGTGTCTTGGAGATGCTCCTCTCTTGGGGCCCAGCATCAGCTAATAATGAAGAGGTTCGACCAATTCAACAGGCAAGTGGCCTTTGGGATTTGCAAGAGAAGCCCTCTTGCAGATTCTCCATTTTCCTGAAGTAGCAATGAATTAGATATCCGTTTTCTATATGAAACCCTACCCCGAAACTTAATCTTTCAAAAAACAATCGTCATTTATTCCCTCTTGTGGTTTCTGTAGGTTGGTCATTCCAGAGTGGCTCAGCTGGTTGGTAAACACCTGGGGCTCCCTGGGCGTCTCTTTCTGTCTGCATGTGGTTTCTCCAAGTGCTCTCTCCAGCATGGCGGGGTTGGGGTAGCGGGACTGGGTTTCTTATATAGCAGCTCAGGTGCCAAAGCACAAGGAGAGACAGTGAGAGAGAGAGAAAGAGAGAGAGGGAGGGGGGGGGAGAGAGAGAGAGAGAGAGCAAAAGCATGTGTGTAAGGCCGAAACCATACCTAGTTTTCTACGACCTAGTCTCAGAAGTCATTCATTGTCAGTACCACTTTGTTCTTAGTCAAAAGGTCCATCCAAGTTCAAAGAGGGAGACATAGACTCCATAAGCCCACCTGTCACAGCGTTAGAGCAGGTGGAATGGGAGATGTACCAGTACAGCCCTCTCTGCAAAACGCAATCCATCACACACGGGAATTTTGCAACAATAAAGAGAACAGAAAGGGAAGGTGATGCTCTGAATTTTGGGTGGTAGGAAAATAAGTCATTCTTGGCACATGTACTGAGTTGAATAGTGTTCCCTAGAATTCACGTCGCCCAAACATCAATATATGACCTTAATTCAAAACAAGCATTTGCAGGTGAGTTAGTTAAGATGAAGTCATTCTGCAATAAAGGAAGCCCCAAATTCAACGACTGGCATCCTTCTATGATCGCTGCCTGAAGCCACTGACACATGCAGAGGAAAGATGGCTTGTGGGGACAGAGGCAGAGGCTGGCGGGGGGCAGCCACAAGCCCAGAATGGCCAGCAATCCCCAGATGCAAGAAGGAATCGTCCCCTAGAGGTTTTGAGGGAAGGTGGCCGACTGACACCTCGGTTTCAGACTTCTGGTCTCCAGAACCATGAGAGAATAAATGGCTGTTGTTTTAAGCAAAGTAACACCCAGTTTGTGGTACTGTGCTATGGGAGATGGAGGGAGCGCCTCCAGCAGAAGAATCTCCACAACACAGGGGGTTGATCTGTATCTGCTGTCATGATCCGCTTGTCCTGACCCCAGTCCACGCACACAGGTTCAAGTCTTGTAAGATGCCCAGATAACAAGGGCTTTTTGTCTGATTCAGCCTGCGCTTGTATTTCCAAAGAGCTACCACGTAACTTCCAACGAGGAGCTTCTGCAGCTTAGTGAATTCTCTTCATTTGGAGCGATCCAATGGAAAAGGTAGACATGCCTGATGTCATGGCAAGCAGAGAGCAGAGAAGACAAAGGCGGGCAGCCGCCGCAAAGCCTCTCTTCTCATTAGCTAAGTATTTCCTGAAGCCTCATAGAAGTCTTTCTTTCCCATTTGCTCTTGACTAATTCAGCTCCCTTCCTGGATGAAGGGAGTAACTCATCCCGGGGATCTGTTTCTTGTCACCGAGGGGAAGGGAGAAGGCGGAGTGCCCGGGGATTCAGAGTTAGGGATCAGGGAAAGGCCGGCCGCATTCAGTGAGGACTCAGGGATGACGGAGAATTTCCTTCTTAGCTGTCCCTTTCCAGCTTCATTTTTGTGTTTGATCTAGTGACCCATTCCCCGGCAAAAGGAGAAATACAAAGAATCAGTAAGCATCTAGGAGATGTTCATGACGACAAATGAAAGCAGTCCGTCGTCTGTCACCTTCCAAACTGCCGACTCTTCTTTGCTGCGACTGTGTCACTGACTTGGCTGCACGTTGGTGAGGCAGGTGAAGAAACACAGAACAGTGAGAGCGGGCAGTTCCGCCGACCACGCAGGACGCAGACACATTTCACAAAGAGACACGGCCTCTTAGAAGACGGAAGAGAGTCCTAAGGAACGCCAGTAATCATATGTGCAGCAACTATACGCAGAAAATAAGAACGTTGTAAAGAAACAATCAGCGACCAGCCGCTCTGCTCTTGGACATTTAAAAATAACATGCTAAAATGAAAAATTAAATTGAATGACTGGAAAATAAACTGGAGACCTTTTCCTAGTACAAAATGCAAGACAGAAACGATAAGAAGCTCAGGAAAGATATATTAGAGATGACAGAGGGGAGAAAAATATTAAAGAAATAATAAATGTCCAGAAGTGTAAGGAGACATGGGTCATCTCATGTGAACACAGTACATTTGAAACACCTACACTCATGAAATCTCAGAACGAAATTAATTTCACACATTAATTAGAATTAATTTGACATTTTAGAATTAATTTAGCTAAATGAATTTAGCATATCCTCATAAAATTTCAGAACTTTAAAAGATAAAATGAATATCCTAAAAGCTCCAAGAGAGGAAAACATTCACCTATAAAGAAATTAAGAAACAGACTTGCATCAAACTTGTCATCAGCAACATTCACTGCCACGGAAATGTGGAACAATTTCTTCCAAACTGCAAGTAAAAACGACTTCAGGACTAGACATTGAAACACAGCCCTACCATCATGCAAGAGGAAGTACAGTTTATTTCAGGCATGAAAAGATCTCCAGATCCTACCCTTCTTTGAAGATCTTCCTTATGGATGAAAATCCTGCTGTGTGCGGTAACTCACACCTGTAATCCCAGCACTTGGGGAAGCCAAGGCAGGCAAATCACTGGAGCTTGGGAGTGTAAGACCAGCCTGAGCACCATGGCAAAACCCTGGCTCTACAACAATTTAAGAAATTAGCCAGGTATGGTGCTGTGCTTCTGTAGTCCCAGCCACTCAGGAGGCTGACGTGGGAGGATTCCTTGAGTCCACGGAGCTCCAGCCTGCAGTGAGCTATGACTGCACCACTGCACTCCAGCCTGGGCGACAAAGCAAGACCCTGTCTCAAAAAAGAAAAAAAAAAGCAGGCCAATAACATTGACCTACCTACCTTAATTGTGCAGCAGGTGAACAAAAAAAGAAAAAAAAATCTTAGAAAAAAGTCCTAGAGAAGAAGATATGGGACCCCAGAAACAGCTGGACTAACACTGGTCTCCATCAGAAAGAAAACAGAATAACGTCTCTGCAGCAGACAGAAAGAATCCATTGAAATTGAAGAAAGAAGTCAGTGTCTCGTGGGGAATATCTTTAAGAAGAAAAATGGAGGAATGTATTTCAGGAGCTGGAAAGAGGAAAAGTTAGAAGATGTGAGCAACATGGTGAGAGTGTATATTTCTTCTCTCTAAGACAAAGAAAAAGCAGTTCATGAATTCTGAAGAAATAATAAACTGTACCAAAAAAATCCCAGCTTTGTGTTAAAGCAGTAAGGATCTGTGGGTTCTTGATGGCGGTGTGGAGATGACATGTCCTTTACGTTTTGAGACCGCGAGTGACTGTTGACTTAGTGGATGGCACTGGCTCCTTTTATTAGAACTAAAGAATGAACAATTACATTCTAGGACTTTCTATGATGGTGCAAAAAGTTTTAATTTACACAATAATGTACTTTTTCTTTTTTTGAGATGGAGTCTCGCTCTGTAACCCAGGCTGGGGTGCAGTTGCACGATCTCAGCTCTCTGCAACCTCTGCCTCCCAGGTCCCACCCAGTTGAACCAATTCTCTTGCCTCAGCCTCCCGAGTAGCTGGGATTACAGGCACGCACCACCATGCCCAGGTGTGTGTAAGTGTATTTGCAGGAGGAAAAAAATAGCTATTTGGTGGTAATGCACCTTCTATGTGGCACTAAGACTAACTTACTTAGTCTGCATGCTTTTCTTTATTTTCTAAATTTACTATAATAAATATGAATTGCTCATATAATCAGAAAAAGTTACTTATAAAATTTCCATCGAAAAGACTGCTTCTAGAGACAAGATGATGAGTTGGAGCTCTTTCCCATTCTGTCCAAGAAGTTTTCAGTCCCTTCAGATCCTTAGAAGAGCTCACCAAGTACTGAAAGGTGAGGAATAGTCTGTATGATCTGTCTCAGATTCTGAGGACATCACAGACAATTATTAGACTCATCCAGCCAGATAGAAATAAATGTGGTTGTTCTAAGATCTTGACAGGGCTGAAAAATTAGTGTCTAGGAAGCTGAGAACTCATGAACCCAGGTGTCTATCTTAACTCCTGCGCTTCAGTTACATAGGACAAAGGTCACAAACTCAGCGGCTTCAACCTGTGCTTCTCAACACTTCCAGTGCATAGGCTTTGCCTGGAGATCTTGTTAATTAAATGCAGATTGTCATTCAGAGGGGCTGGGGTGGGGACCTGAGATTCTGCACCTGAGAACCTGAGAATCAACGACCTGGGAATACTGATGTGATGTGGCTGATCCAGGATTACACCTTCAATAATGAGGGCTTCCGGGGTCAAGGCTGGGACTATGAAAAGCCAGGTGAGGAGTGATGGGGAGTAGGGAAGCAGGGAGATGATGGTCCATCTGAAGGTGTTTCAAGTACTAACAACAACAATAATGTAAACACACTCTAAGGGAAAAGCAAACTTGCCTGATGGCCAGATTCTAGCCAGAAGTTGATAGTATGTCCTGTCCAGCTGGAAAGTTGTGGGAAAAAAAAAAAAGAAAGAAAAAGAATGATTGTGAATGACTGTGGCACTTGTCCCATCTGGTGTATTAGTCTGTTTTCACACTGCTGATAAAGACATGCCCAAGAGTGGGCCGCAGCTGGGCCGCCGGGGCAGGCCGAGGGCTCCGCAGCGGGCCTCGAGGTCCTTGGGGCCCGTGGGCTCTCGCTGCCACCCGCCCCTTCCAGCTCCTTCCCGTAGTGCAAAGGGCGCTTGAGCGAGGTGATCGGAGCAGTCGCAGCGAGGACCATGTTGCTTCCAAACATCCTGCTCACCGGTACACCATGGGCTGGAAAAACCACACTAGGCAAAGAACTTGCATCAAAATCAGGACTGAAATACATTAATGTGGGTGATTAACTCGAGAAGTCTGATCATTGGATATCATGGAGTCTGGCAAGATGGCTTCTCCCAAGAGCATGCCGAAAGGTGCCCAGATGATGGCACAAATCCTGTAGGATATGGGGATTACAGAATATGAGCCAAGAGTTATAAATCAGATGTTGGAGTTTGCCTTCCGATATGTGACCACAATTCTAGATGATGCAAAAATTTATTCAAGCCATGCTAAGAAAGCTATCGTTGATGCAGACGATGTGCGATTGGCGATCCAGTGCCGCTCTGACCAGTCTTTTACCTCTCCTCCCCCGAGAGATTTTTTATTAGATATCGCAAGGAAAAGAAATCAAGCGCCTTTGCCATTAATCAAGCCATATTCAGGTCCTACGTTGCCACCTGATAGGTATTGCTTAACAGCTCCAAACTATAGGCTGAAATCTTTACAGAAAAAGGCATCAACTTCTGCGGGAAGAGTAACAGTCCCGCAGTTAAGTGTTGGTTTGGTGACTAGCAGACCAAGTACTCCCACACTAGGCACACCAACCCCACAGACCATGTCTGTTTCAACTAAAGTGGGGACTCCCATGTCCTTCACGGGACAAAGGTTTACAGTACAGATGCCTACATCACAGTTTCCAGCTTTAAAAGCTTCAATTCCTGCAACTTCAGCAGTTCAGAATGTTCTCATTAATCCATCATTAACCGGGTCCAAGAACATTCTTATTATCACTAATATGGTGTCATCACAAAATACTGCCAATGAATCATCAAATGCATTGAAAAGAAAACATGGGGGGAGGATCCAAGATGGCCGTTTAGGAACAGCTCAGGATTGCAGCTCCCAGTGAAAGTGCAGAGGGTGAGTGGACGCCGCGTTTTTATTGCCTACAGACTAGGAAATTCCCAGGCGGAGGAGCTCCACACCAGCACGGCTGTTTCGGCCAGCGCGGCTGTGCCAGCCAGCGCCGCTGCTTTGCCCCGCGCGGCTGCTTTGTCGGCGCCCCGGGAGCCACGATTCTCCATACAAAATACACCGGTCCGGGAGCCCTTTTGGCTGGCGATTGGAGCCACGGGAAGTTGCCCATTCGTCTGATTAAAAAGGGGACTGAGCAGAGAACCAGGACAGTAGATTCCAGGGC